TATGCTCCACAGGCCTTGCAGGGAGGGATTTATACCAAGGGCTGCCGCTACCTGTCAGCTTCCAGGCACATGGACAGCGCGGGGCCTCTCGGGTATTCCCACAAGCTGACTCCAGCAGCCAGCCTCACAGCCTAGGTCACCTGGCAATCGACAGGTGGAAGCAACAACTCAGCATCTGCGTGGTTCCCTGGCTGGAATCCCTGCCTACGAGCGGGCTGGGAGCCAGCCCCACCTGAGCCATTCAGCAGCCTGGCTCGGGACCCATGGCTCCGGTACTGACCCCAGCGCATGGCTTGCTTTCTGGCCAGCAACCTGCAGCCCCCACCCCAGGGTTCACACAAGATGGGTACAGGCTGGAAATTGAACCTCACATACACACATAAATGCCCACATTCCTCTGTCCACACCCCTCAACCCGGTCTCTCTGGGTCTTTAATCCTAACTCCCTTTCCCTTCAGTGTCCTGCCTGTCACATTCTCCCTTCATTACACTGCCTTCCTTCCTGCACCCCATCTTACCTTCCTCCCCGTAAGTCTACCTGTCTGGGCCCTGTCCCTGCCTCCCCATGTTCCCTCATCCCTCACTACCTGTTCCCTGGACCACACACGCTGATTGGGAGACAGCTGCTTCCAACCCACTGGAAACTGGCGGGATGGGGGCAGTCTTACTAGGGCTACCTCATCTCCACTTGAGAATTGTGTAGGGAACTGGTGGGCGGCCATTTTAGCTGAGCACAGCCTGGCTCCATTCTCACAGTAGGTGACAGTGGCTGGTATTAGCCAGGTCTGAGCAGGCTCCCAGCCTCAGGGCACCTCCTGAAGGCAATGCACTGGAGGCCCCCTGCCTCAGTTTCCCCACCTGATCTGGTGGTTTACATGGCTCAGCCCTCCAGCCAGGTCACTACAACACTTCAGTCCCCTTCCAGGAGGAACAGAATCCAGAGTCCCAGTCCAAACACAAAATAAAGGTGTGATTGGCCCAAACAGGCTTAGCACTCATCCCCTTTAGAGTTATTCATCCACTCACCCCCTGGGCTCAGCTCTCATTCACTCTCCTACCTCTTCTGGTGAGATACCCCACTGCCAGGGCCTATCAGGTCCCAAGTTACTTCCAAATTGTTCCTTGTCAATGCCTGTCTTCCCTCCAGGCAGGCTCAATCAGGCATCAGTGCTAGCTCAGCTCCAGGCTAGGTTCTTCTCTCACCACATGAATGTTATTGATCTGTACTCCTCCTAACCCAGCCCCCCACTGAGCAGGGCCTTCCCTTTTTAGCCTCCTCCCTTCAGACCTGGCACCCCTACAGGTGTAGCAGGAGAGGCTGATTGGGCCTACAGCCGCACATTAACCCTTCCAGGTCCGGGTGGGGTCTGTGTGAAATGGACAAGAGGCAGAGAACTGGCAGCAAAAAGATTCGTGGCGTGTCTCCCCTCAGATACCCTGCCTGATTTCTGATGGCACATGGGCTCGGACAAGTCACCCCTTCTGTCTTGTCATTATGCTAACTGATTTGTTTTAACCAGATTAGTGATCAAGTCCCGCCCCAGGAAGACATGCATGCGCTCGGGACTTTAAATCAAAGCCATCTTTATACCATATGTTGTTGTTGCCCCTTCAGTTTAGCTGTGAGTTCCTATTTGCAGCAAAGGTCCATTTAATGGCATTGCTTTTGCACCCGAATGTCCAAAACCAGAACCTGATGCTGCAGCTGTTATAAAGCACAGATTTTCACAGGGGCCTAAGGGAGTTTGACACCAAAGTCCCACTGAGTTTCAGTGGGTTTTGGTACCTAACTCCATTGGGCTCTTTTGAAAATCTCAGCTTACATCAATAGCAAGGTTCCTACTGACTTCAATGAGAGCAAGCTCGGCCCCTAGTAATAGCTCATTTGTACCAAAGAGAAGCTGGTGTGATTATCTCAGTGTTGCTCAGCACATGGTATTTAGACCAAAGGACTGGAAAATATAAATAAGGTGATTTTAAATGTAAAATGTTATTAATTATTATTTCTTAATATTATCACATAACCCCCTCTTCTCTTTAGCCACAGCAGAGCCTAGAGGTGCAACCACGATCAGGGCCCCATAGTGCTAGATGCTGTACAAACACGTAGGAGACAGTCCCTGCCCTGAAGAGCTTACAGTCTAAATAGACATGTTAGAGGGGAAACTGAGGCACAGAGAGGTGAAGTGACTTGCCCAAGGTCACCCAAAAGGTCAGTGGCAGTGCTGGGAACAGGATGCAGGTCTCCTGAGGCCCAGTGTATTGAACAAATCTGCCTCTCTGAATGAGCCCTCCAATATACTGTATATTTTGGACTAAACTACGGTAAATTTTTGAAGGCTTCTTGCATCTGAAGAAGTGAGGTTCTTACCCGCGAAAGCTTATGCTCCCAGTACTTCTGTTAGTCTCAAAGGTGCCACAGGACCCTCTGTTGCTTTTTACAGATTCAGACTAACACGGCTACCCCTCTGATACTTGCCTCAAAGATGCTCTGTATAAATACATTGTCCTCATGCTGATATTTTAAACACTTACTAATGGTTTGGTAGCAAAGATTTGCAAAGAAATCCTGACAGCTGCCCAGAAATATAGACCAGAACACTGGGGGAAAAAATCATTGCAGTGTGTGACGCGTCTGTAAAAATTCCTAAACAGGATTAGAGTCCTTCATGAAAATTCATCTCCAGAGTAAGCCCATAAGCGACTTACAAACCCCTTCCTCTGAAAACTGTTGTTTAGCTTCCATCTTTGATTTGCCAGCTCTCTTACTAATGCATGGAAAGTCTCAGTTAAATTTTTGTTATCAACAGCAAAAATAAAATATCCTGAGCAGAATATATTAGGGTTAGGGAGGGATCTCTTCTTCCGTCTCTCTAATGTTATTACACTTGAACCTGGCTAATTCTTTGCTCCCCTGCAAACACAGGAGCCACAATATGGCATCAGTTTTTAAGGAGAATTCCTGAATGAAATTCTCCCAACCGACCCCCGATAAATGTCACAAAAGACCAGCGGGGTTGGCCCATTTCTCAGCAAAGATTTAATAGTACTGAGCTGCAATTGGCTCTCATATTATAATGATTTGCCTAAAAATAGTAATGTGCAGTGTTACTTGGAGTCTGGTTTGTTTTGTATTGAGAGAGAGGTTCCATTTCAAGGTATATGATGGACCAAAGTTTCTTTCTTTTCATTTCTTTCCTTGGTGCAAAGCACTGAATTATCATGTTGAGGGTTCCAGATTTGTCATGGAATTTTTTATAAAAAAATCACAGTCATGGTAAATTTAGTAAAAGTCATGTCTGCGCCACGATTTTTGATTAAAAAAAATGCCCTGACAAATGAAGGGGTACTGACTACCTACAACAGCATCCTCTCCCCCAGCATCCCAACCCTAGTCCTGGCCTAGAAGGGAAGGGAGGCAGGGGCTGGAGAATGAACCCACCCACACTCACCCTGGGCAGTGGTGGCTCCTGTGCCCCATAGAGCTGAACCTGGCTCTCTGCTCCAGGTGTCGCGACCTGGTATGCTGGATTGCAGCGCCACTTAGGTTTGGCCTGCTGCCTAGCTCCTCGCCATCATGATGGAGGGGTGGCTGGGCCAAATCTGAGCCAAATCTGTGACCCCACAACTGGGTTGCAATGCCCAGAGTGGGGAGCTAGGCCCAGCCCCACGGGACAGGAGCTGCAGCTGCAGGGTAAATCACGGACACAGAAAAAGATCATGGTCAAATAGGAAAATCACACTATCCATGAATTTTTTTCCTGCCATGACAAACCTGCAGCTGTAATCATGTTGCTTGTAAACGTTCACAGATCCTGCTGCCCTACTGTGGTTCCTTGCTAGGGACAGTGTGCCAATGTCACTTCCTGGTGACGGCTTTTCTGTTGTCTTACGGGGGTTACTCTGCAGGTTGCCAGTGATGGGTCTGGGTTTGCTGTTCACTTGTTCAAAGGAGCAGGTGCAGCAAAGTGATAACTAAGATAGATACATAGAGCATGTTCTGGTGGGCTGACTGGGTTCTCTTATCATGACATTATTAATATTTCTTGGGGACGGCTTTCATCTCACTCCAGATGTAGCTAGATCTTTGCAGGGATTAGTTTGCAGGTCACTCTGGATTTTATGGAGCAGCCATTTTATTTTGTCTGCCTTAATCCTAGGGTTTTACAGTAGGTGAGGTGTGACAAGCAAAGCACTGAATCCCTGCCCTGAGGATCATGCAGAACTGCACTAGCTGGTTTTAAGGTTGATTCTTTTCCAAAGCTTCTACTACTATTTGTGTATTTTCTGGGACATCAGGATGTCAACATACCTGCTGCCCCTCCTCTGGACTGTTTATCTGGTGGACTGTGGATTCTAGTAATGGGCTTTGTTAACCCTTTATTTTTGCTAACTAATTAAAAAAAACCCTAATTTCCCCATGCTCTGTCTTATTCATAGGACTTGCAGTCAGGCTTGTCCCTAGCTGGGCTAATTTGGTATGTCTGTGTACGTTGCTGTTTTAATGTTAGCATTTGCTTGTGGCAAGGCTCAGGACGATTGTGTGATACGCCTGCGTTGCCCTTGGAAAATATACTTTCCTGGGATCAAAGTACTGGGAAAATGTTAATTTATTATACCCTGGAGAAATGGAATCAACTATTTCTCGAATGTGGTAGCAATGGAATAACCCCCAGTAGGGGTGTTTAGTTTGCTAGTTTGTAATATGCGTGTACATAAAACTGCATGCACATTACAAGTATTAAAATATAGCAATGTCTATTACATGCAATCACTGCTGAGGTGCATTTAATTAGACTGTTCTCCTTTGAGTATTTGGAGTGGATCATGCACAGAAAAATCTGCATTTTTCTTCCTCAAGCTGTGAATGGTATTTTTTGTTTTTGTTTAAATAATGTAATATGACGCCAGGAAAGAAAAAAGGGGCAGAAACCTGATCTCAATGGATAAGTCAAACTCCAATTAATGTTTAACAAGCTAGAATGGTCCGATGGGACAATAGTGGCGTGATCCGGCACATCCACGCCCAAAAGATTTCGGGAAGCACGTGGAAATCTGAGGGGGGGGAAGTGGCAACACCGAGTGTGTGTGTGAGGGGAGCACTTGCCATTCGCTAATCCGGCTCAGCCGCAGCACGAGCAGCTGGCGGAGCAGACTGCGCTCCCCACAGAGCTCAGCCCGCGCGCCCCGAAAGGCTCCGCGCTAGCCGGGTTCTAGGCTCCGCCTCGCGCCTCCTAGCCGGGTTCTAGGCTCTGCGGCCCCCGATCCCTGGGTTCTAAGGCTCCCAGGAGCATGGGCCGCTGCCCCCGCGCTCTGCTGCTGCTGGGCACGCTGGCCCTGCTGGCCCCGGGCCCCGCTGCTGAGGATGACCACGACGAGGACGACGAGCTGGTGCTGTCCTTCCCCTCCGAGGAGGAAAACCAGACGGAGGTCGGGAAGCACCTGGGCTCGGCCGCTTTCTACAGGACGAACAAGGTGAGCGGCGTCGGGGCAGGCGGCAGAGGGGGCTGGGGCGCGGGCGGCCCGGCCCGGCTGCCCCTTGGCGAGGGGCACGTAGCCCGCCCTTGGGAAGGGAGCTGGCGGCTGGCACCGCCGGGGACTCGGGACCCGGGACCGGCCCGGGGGCCGCCGAGCACCAGGGCACGCGGCCGGGGAGCCGCCTGGTGCAGAAGAGACGCTTGAGCTGCTCAGCCTGGGGCGAGGCAGGGGAGCCCCGGGGGTAAGGCACGAGGCCGGGGAAGCTGCTTTCTGGTTCTGCCTCTGGCTCCTCGGCTGATCTTGGGCAAGTCCCTTAGCCGCGGGGTGCCTCAGTTTCCCTGGTTCGTGCACATGGCTCCGCTGCAGCTTTGCGTGCCACCCACATGCAAAATAAATCGAAGAACTTGCTCCACAGCGCCGACTTCTGCCCCGTGGGGCTGCCCAGCTCCGGCCGTGGCCACCTGGCGCATGAGCTCCCCCCTCCGGACCACCCACCTCCCCAAGTCCTTTCCCCTCGGGGGGCAGGACCATAAGTGCTGGAAGTAGGAGTGCTGGGGGTGCAGTAGCACCCCCGGCTTGAAATGGTTTCCATCATAAACGAGTTTGGTTCAGCACCCCTCTCCCTGCACTATAAAAATGGTTCCAGCACCTCTAGGCAGGACCCAACTCTCTTCCCACCCCCAAGGCCTCCAATCCCTCAGGGGCAAGAGCCTCCTCTTCCCCCAGGAGAGTCTCCCCCACCCCCAAGGGCAAGACCTGATTCTCCCCCACCCCTAGGACTCCCTCTCCAGGGGGACAGGACCTTCCCTCACAGATAAAATGAATAAAACAAACTCTTACAAAGAATAACAATAATTTTGCAGGCTCTAGGTGTGCTGCTGCTTGCCCACCTGTGGGACCTCCTGCTAAAAGGTCTCTGTGTTAGTGCTGTGGGTTGTGATGATGATCAGGTGGATCTCGGCATGAAAGAGCTGCCGATGCAGAACTGACATGCCTAGAGCCTCTTGTGCAGCAGGCGAGAGGCGACTGTGCCATGGGATGGCAAGAGGGATGTGTGCATGCCACCTTGTCGGTGTGAGCTCCCTGGATAGCAGTTGAGTGTGTCTTGTGCCCTGTGACAGCCAGAGAAATCAAATAAATAAAGCTCTGTGCTGTGGAGCGTGCAGGGCTGGAGGATTGCAAAGCAGCCATGCTTGGGAAGGAGGCTTAGGGAAGTTCACAGCAGGGTGCGGGGGCATGCAGTGACTTGTGGCACTAACTTGTTGCAGCTACGATGGGCTGGTGCCTTAGGCTGTGGACCTGGCCACAGTAGTTTGTTTCCTACCTCTTCTGGGAGCAGGCTCTTAAGCCCTTGTAGACCCAACTGTGTGACTTTGGAAACAGAGCTCTGGTGGGACTCTTTTCTTACCCTTGTGGAGGGGAGGGTTTGGCTAGTTTGGCTAGTGATGCGGTGAGCTGCAGGTGCAGAAGGATTTGGGGAGGAGAACAGTTGGCTTGTGCTGCGAGTGAGGGAGGGTTCTGGTCACTGAGGGTGGGATTGAGTATATGGGATGGGGCTGGGTTTGTGTCCCACCCGCTGACCTGCTAGACTGTGCACTTAACCCTCATTCTTACCTTCTACCTCCCCGTGATGAATTGGTGATTTCACACTGTTTGGGGCCTTGATAAGATGTTTTCCAAGTATAATGCAGCTGCCACAGCCATGGCATAGAGAGCGTCTGTGTCCATGCAGTTTAACAGTGTTGCCAGCTCTCATAAGTTTTTCTTCCAAGTCCCAGCTCCTGGAGTCAAGTGATGATGTAAAAATCTTCCTTTTGTTTTGTAAGTTTCTAGCCCTTACGGTTGCAGAGGACAATTTGGAAATGTGATCCAATGGGCTCTGCAGACCCAAAAACCAGAAGCCAAAGACAACCTACATTATTTTTTAAAAGATCTCATGCCTGTGAAGCCAATCTCGTGATTTTTGAATGGTTAGGGCTCACAATACTGCACACAGTTCTTTCCTTCTGATCATGTGTAATTACATTACAAAATGAACTCTGCTGTGCTGATTAAAGTAACAGCTCAAGCGACTGAGCTTGCAGTGAGAATTTGAACAGCAGTGTTTGCTCTGTGAAGGTGCATGGCTTTGAAAAATCTGCTTCTGCTTGTTTAAATTCAGGACATGTGGAGATTACCTGGGCAGTACATAGTGGTGCTGAAGGAGGAAACTCATAAATCCCAGACAGAGCGAACCATCCACAGGCTGCAAGCTCGAGCAGCGAAGCATGGCTACCTAACCAAAATCCTTCACATCTTCCAGGATCTGTTCCAGGGGTTTCTTGTTAAGATGAGCAGCGATGTGCTGGATATGGTAAGAGGATGTTGCCCATCTGTCTTTTCAGCCTGGTTTTGTTTTCTGTTCAGAGGCATCTGGGGTAGGGCAGGCAGTGTGGAGAGCAGGTTTTTTTCCCAGTGGTAACAGTTCTGTTTGAGGCAAGAAACATGTAGATTGAAAGGCAGGCAGGCAGGAAAGTAACATAAGCTGGAAGTAAAAGGATCCAACCTAGAGAATGTTTGTCTGCCTCGATAGTGAGAACATCTAGAGTTGCAAGAGTAAGGATTAAAATACCACCTCTCCATCCACATGTTTGCAAGGTTTGTGAATCCTCATGCTTCAGGGCAGGGCCCGCTCCAGCTTTTTTGCTGCTCCAAGTGGCGAAGCGGGGAAAAAAAAAAGAAAGAAAGCTGATCGGCAGCACTTTGGCGGCAGCTCAATCGCGCCGCTTCATTCTTCGGCGGCGAGTCCTTCGCTCCCTCTCTTCCACTTCGGCGGCAGTTCAAAGAGGAAGAGAGGGTCTGAGGGACCCACCGCTGAATTGCCGCCGAAGACCCGGACGTGCCGCCCCTTTCCATTGGCCGCCCCAAGCACCTGCTTCCTTCGCTGGTGCCTGGAGCCGGCCGTGCTTCAGGGCACAAACTAATCTCTAATTTGCAGGTTTAAGGAAGAAACTTTCCTGTGGGTTGATTATTCCATAACTGCCTGCATGAGGCTTTTTGTAACTTCCTCTGAAGCATCTGGTGCTGGCCACTGTCCAACACAGAATCTGGATTAGGTGGACCTTGGGTCTGACCCGTCCAGCAATTCCACTGTCCCTCTCCAATCGGACAAAAGTCATTGCGCTGATTTTGCATACCTGCTTTCCAATGCCCGCTGCTTTGTGTGGGATCTCACTGATATTTGAAACAAATTGTGAATGGTGAGTCTGTAAAACTCAGAAAGAATCCAAAGTAAGGCAGATCCAATCAGGAATCCAAGGTGATGCAAGTCCCAGGTACTCTACCCACATGGCTGGATGCAGACTTGTGGCTGCTAGTCATATGTCTTCACTGATCAAAGAGCACGTGGGAGTAGTTTGCAGTTAAGCTGAGGCAATACAGTGCTCCTCTTTTGAGGAGGTGATTGTGAGAAGAACATGGAATTTCCACAGGAGAAAAAATTCAGTTAAGGAGCTGTTTTACTTTGTGTTCTCTCTTGACAGGGCTGCTACAGATTTAGGAACCTGGGCCATTCACAAGTTCTTTGTTTTTGCTGCATTAGGACAATCATTTTGCAGTTGCAGACATGGACGTCAGCAACTCTCCATCTCCCCACAGCCTTACTCCGTCAGGCTGTCTGGGGTCGTGTGAGTGTGTTGCCACATAGCGACTTGAGTTTGAGGGCTGCCCTTTGCTCCCAGGGCAGCGGGGAGTGCCTGGCACTGATCTCTATAATTACGCTTTGCACCTTCCACTGGAGGATCTCAGAGCGCTTTGCTGAATTTAACCTCACAGAACTGAGGCACAGAAATTAGTAAATGAATGTGGTAGAGCGAGGCCTAGAACCCGAATTCCCTGACAGCCAGATCTGTGCCTTAGCCATCAGACCATCCTTCCTATGTCTCTAGGAACCCCCCTGGCCTTCCAGAGCAAGTGGCATTGATGAGCTCTGCAGGGAGCTGCATCCACACTGCTCACAGGAAAGTCAGGTCACTGTGGTACATGCGTATTCTAGCAAGGAGAGCTACAAAGGGCACAACCTTGGAGCTACAGGGGCAACCGCTGGAGGTTTAGTATCCCGTAAGTGCATTGGGAGGCTCCTGCTCTCTGCCAGCATTTTGTCTGTGTTTGCACCTCTGCTTGGAGCTCTCCTACCCTAGTTGAAGATACTGGTCATGTGGGTGGGGTTGGACAGACCGGAATGGGCACATCAAGAATATTGTGAAACTCATTGTGACCGTCATCAGTCTTAGAGCCAGTTCCCCTTGGAAATCGAGGCTACTGCATGGCTCCGTCTCCCACGGTGTCAGTTCTTCGTCCCATGTGCAGGGTTCCATAGTACAGCTATGAGACAGGAGCGAATGGGGCTGGAATGTCTGGAGTAACAAATCCTGCTCTCACACTCAGAGTGAGGACTATGTTCTCCACTGTGTGAACTGGTGCAGCGCCACTGACTCCAGGGCATCCGTTTACACCCACAGAGTGTTTGGCCCCCTAATGTGCCGCTCTGAGTCTGGGATTGATTTGACATCGTTTTCCCCCCACATTCGACAAATAAAGCTCTGGGGGGGTGTCATCCTGCTGGTTGGGCCGTGACCAGTTGAGCACTCAGCTCTCATCAGCTTCAGTCGTGCAGGGTCAGAGCCTAAATCTTTATTCAGGAGAGAATAAGCCACCTGCCTTGGGCAGCTGCCATCTTTCCTGGCCCGGTGCGAGGAAGCTGCTAGATAGAACAGCTGAGAGCATCCCATGTGGTTTCTGTCTGTGTGGTGTGCACCAAGTACTGTGTCCAGGCCATCTCTCTCTGATGTTTCTTTTGCACAGGCTTTGCGGCTGCCGCACGTTGAGTACATTGAAGAGGACTCCTACGTGTTTGCTCAGAGCATTCCCTGGAACCTTGGCAGGATCGTCCCGGCACAGTACAAGTCTGGCGAATATAACCCTCCCAGTAAGGGCTCCCTCTACCCTCTTTGAATTTATTTTAAAGGAGAATTCATGGGGCAGCAGACGATTTCCAGGGGCAAAATTGCACCCTCCAAACACATGCAGAGAGAGTAGGAAACCTGCGCAAATGTAGTTCCAAGTGTGTGCAGAAAAGTGGGAGAACATGAATCTCAGACAGCACCTTTCTCCCTACCCCAGTGGGACCGATGTCCTCTTCTCCAAGGAGTTTGTTGGCATCTTTGGCACTCTGAGCTTTTGAGGGGGCGAGGCTTGCTAGGGAGGGGGCCGAGTCAATCAACTCTCCATGGTAACCTTCCCCTCCAAATCTGGGATACATTTAGCTTGCGAGGACAGGGCAGGTTGGCATCCTCTGGAGCAGAGCCCTTGGTCTACATTGTTTTCTCCTGCTCTCCCTGCAGCTCGATAGCGCCTTCTGCGCTTGCTTAGGAGGATGGAGCCGAGAACGGAAGAAACCACTATAGCTATGGTTCTAGGGGGCCAGGGAGCTTGCGTAACTACCCTGGAAGTCAGTGGGAGCTGTGTGCATGCAGAGTTTGCAGGATTGGGCCCTATATAGGCACTGGATGGATGCATTGTTTGTTATTTCCCTTGCAAGCCACTGTTCGCAAGAATTGATAACTTGGCTGTAAAAATGTAGCCATGTGGTTCGTAAGATGGCAGTGCCCAGAAAACATCTGTCTCTCATCGGCTAGAGTGCTGGACTGATGACAGCTACAACTGCTCTGGTCGTAACGGGGTGCGTTGCTTTCTGAGGGCATTGCTGCCTTTCACTGACTGCGCCGTGGCTTGTGTTTGGTAGATAAAGGAGATCTGGTTGAGGTTTACCTGCTAGACACCAGCATCCAGAGCAACCATCGGGAGATAGAGGGCAGAGTGTTTGTGACGGACTTCGAGAACGTGCCAGAGGAGGACGGCACACGCTTTCACAGACAGGTGAGTGAGCCTGTGGGCTCTGTCAGGGTCCTGGGCTCTCACTGCCTGTGAGAGGAACAGCTTGGGCTGGTGGAAAGTTTTCCGTCAAAACTGTTCTTAGGGTGACCAGATAGCAAGTGTGAAAAATCAGGACGGGGGTTGGGGGTAATAGGCCTCTATATAAGAAAAAGTCCCAAATATCGGGACTGTCCCTATAAAACTGGGACATCTGGTCACCCTAACTGTTCTTCAGCGGAAAATGGACTTTTTGATTATAGTTTTTCATGAAAAAGTGTTGGATTTCCATGGACGATTTCACTCTGTCATTGAGACACCCAAAAATTCAGCCAAACATTTCTATTGGGATATGCTGCCATGGTGCCGCCTATCCCTCTGCTCTGTGGGCCGGGCTTGCTAGCTGGACTCCATCTCCCATGAAGCACCCTGGCCAGGGGCTCCCAGGATGCACCACCTCTCCAAGAGGGGAGACTGTAGTCCCTCCTGGGAGATGCAGTCCAACCAGGGAACCGGATGCAGAGGAGAATGGGAGGACGAGGCACCCAGATTATGACTTCATGACGTGCTGCGGTAGCATTTCTCAATCAGAACTTCCTGGGCTTTGAACGCTTTCTGATTTTCTAATTTGAGCTGAAAAACCAAGTTTTCTGTGTGTGTGTGGAGAGGGGAACCCCCATTTTCCAATCAACTCTAGCAACAGCTTCAGGGAAGATAGCACAGCGACTGATGCCAGGGCACTGTCTACATGAGGGTTTTCTGCTCTGTTTGATGGAGGATGCCAAACACAGCTCAGCTTTCCAAGCCTCACCTCCACACGCGGCTGTCCTCTGTTGTCCTGCTGATGTGGAGTCCCACACGTGCTTTAACCAGGCCTGCTCCACCCCAGTTTTGAATTCCTGTTACACAGTGGGTGTTTCGTTTGTGCCCATGCCACCTACACAGTTGTATTCATAGGCTCTTGGCCTTGGTAGAGTTCCTTGAGCCAGTATTCTGAATTGGAATTATTAGCTGAAGGGTCTTGGCTCCAGAAACGCCGGAATTCTTACTACCAAGTTCGGCTACTGACTTGCTGGATGACCTAGGCAACCTCTCTGTGCCTCAGTTTGCACATCTGTAAAATGGGACTAATAATACCTGCCTCATAAGGGTATTGTTAGGATTGCTTAGCTAGTATTTGCATATGGGCTCAAAGGCTAAGAACACCTGCATCTCCGGTTCACAGCCTAGGGCCTTCAGTGGGATTGGAGGGTGCCCAGCAAGGATGGTTAGATGGATAACAAGACTATCCAGAGTTAATGCAAACAAAGAATTTTGGAAGGGATAAAACCTCATGCTTCAGGGCTTAGGCCAGACTCTAACTACTAGGGATCAGGATCAAACCTTCATGGGGGGCAGATTGTTTTGAGCATTGGCCTGCTAAACCCAGCGTTGTGAGTTCAATCCTTGAGGGGGCCACTTAGGGATCTGGGGCAAAATTAGTACTTGGTCCTGCTAGTGAAGGCAGGGGGATGGACTCGATGACCTTTCAAGGTCCCTGCCAGTTCTAGGAGATAGGATATCTCCATTAATTTATTTATAAGCATCTGGTGCTAGCTGCTGTCAGACACAATACTGGGCTAGATGGACTATGGGTCTGACCCAGCCAGCAATTCCTATGTTATTTAGCAGCTGTGTCACTGAAAATGGCTAATACACTAGAGAATAGCATAAAAGTGTCATGATAGAAATGGTGGTAGCAAATAAAGGGCCTGATCCTGCACGCACCGACATGCAGGAGTCCCTCTATATTGACGTCAGTGGAACCACTATCCTGCGTGTGAGAGTGTTTGCAGGATTGGGCCCCAAGCGTGTGTAGTGGGGCCAACGCATGGGACGGTTCTGGAAACGTTTGCTGCCTTGCTTGACTTCCCCTCTCTGGCAGGCCAGCAAGTGCGACAGCCACGGCACCCACATGGCCGGGGTGGTGAGCGGGAGGGACGCTGGCGTGGCTAAGGGAGCCAGCGTTCGCAGCCTTCGGGTGCTGAATTGCCAAGGCAAGGGCACGGTCAGTGGGACCCTGATTGGTGAGTAAGAACCATCGAAGTATGTCGCGTCTAACCCTCGAGAGCCTGATGGGACAGGTGGGATTTTAGGGCCAATTCAACGCCCACTGAAAGCCAACGCCCATTGGCTTCAGTGGCACTTGGCTCCGGCCTGTGGGGCCAGATTGTCAGAAGTGCTCAATTCCCATTTTGGCACCTAAGTGGATTTTCAGAAGTTCCCTGCATTCAATCTGCTGAGCGCTTTTGAATCTGACCTTTAGCACCTCACTGTGATGTGCCTCTGAACACCCTGTGGCAGGGTGCACTCGTCCTGAGTGAACAAGGGGTTAACCACTTTTCCCAACCTCCCTGCCAGTGGACAGGTGAAGGACCATACATTAGTTGCTGCAGGAATACAGGGCTACACACCCAATTTCCTAGGGCTGGGCTGGAGCCCTGCTGGGGGAGTTCTCTCTCTCTCTCTCTCTTTCGATTGTGTTTAGATTTCTGGTTACTGTAACTCTGGTCCCTGGAAGGAGAGCCTGTCCCAGAGGGCACCTCTGCTGGGGTTCTGTTGACTCATCCCATCAGCGTGCTCGTCTGTACTGAGCAACAGTTGCTGTTCACCGAGTCTCTTTCCCTGTCAGTCCGTGAAAGGATATTTACGTGAAAAGGATCTTGCTTCTTTCCAGCTGGAGGGGAGAGCTGAATCTGGCCCCCCACTTCCCAGCTAGCAGGATGCGAGTGAGTCATTAGCGCTGTCCTTTTCTGTGATCGTTCTCTGTCCGTTTCATTTGTACGTGATCAACAGGCCTGGAGTTTATCAAGAAGACCCTGACTGCCCAGCCCTACACCCCCTTGGTGGTGTTGCTCCCCTTTGCTGGAGGCTACAGCCGTGTTTTGAATGCAGCTTGTCGGCTGATGGTGCAGACGGGGGTGGTAATGATTGCTGCAGCTGGCAACTACAAGGAGGATGCCTGTCTGTACTCACCTGCATCTGAACCGGAGGTATGGGGCTGGGACACTGTGCTTTCACGGATTGAGACACCTGGCTTCTATTCTTGACTCTGCCACTGTTTTGCTGTCGTCTGGCCTTGACCAAGGCACGTCACCCCATCTGTGCCTCAGTTTTTTTGGGTGTAGAATGGGGATAACAATCGCTTCCTGCCCTTTGGACAAAGCGTTCTGTGGTTCAGAGTCCCCACTGCAGTTTGTTCGTTGGCGAGGGGGCGGGGAAATAAGGAGCTTTGCCTCCTCCCTTGCACAGGCCACACAAGGCTATGCACAATCGCGATCCCTGCTCTCGGGGGAACACACAGATCATTCTGCTGCTTCTCTATGGCTCCCTAAATGGGACGGCGGAATCCCCCTCCCCCAGGCACTTTTGTGTGGGTTGTGCTCGAAAGGCACCATATGGTGCAGGACCTGTTAACGCTCTGCGGGCAGTGCAGCGGGCTTGTTTGCAGTACCTGGGGTATTGCAGACAGTCCAACGATGTGACCTGCGACTCCCAGGTCCTGCCCCTTCCTTGTTGGCCAGGACACTGCACCTTGTTGTAGATGGAGTGTCACTCGGTGGCTGGCAGGAAGCTCGTGCATGAGGTAGAGACTTATTGGCTGGGGCAGCATGACTTGGCCTGTGTGTCCTTGATCGCGTCAGTATCTGTAGTCCCCGAAGCACATTACTCATGCTGGAAGGAGCTCTGGGCTCCTGGCTATACTCACCCTTGCAGTGAACTTTCAGAGTCTCCCTGAGGAATTATATAGTCCTGGTCCTTTACAATTCCTCCAATCCTGAAGGAGGGGTGTGGCTTTATGTTCCTGTAAAGGCAAAGCGTTATTCAATAGCATTCACCCTGGTGGGCAGGAGGAATTGTACAGGCCGGGGTGGATTTGTTTGGGAGTTTTAATGCAATTATGGACCATCCGTTCGCTGCTGATGTCCCAGTTGAGACGTGTCATTGCGCTGTAACCCTCAGGTCATCACTGTCGGGGCAACCGACTTCCAGGACCAGCCTGCCTCCATGGGAGCCTTAGGAACAAACTTTGGCCGGTGTGTGGATGTCTTTGCCCCGGGTGACGATATCATCGGGGCCTCCAGCGACTGCAGCACCTGCTTCACTTCCCAGAGCGGGACGTCCCAAGCCGCTGCACACGTGGCAGGTGAATCGATTTTTTTTTTTAAATGCATGCAGCAGTAGGATCAAGCAGTAGTGGCTGTGTGACCGTGTGCCCAGCAGGGTAAAAATGAACCATCCCCAGCAAAGCACATTACATTGACTAGCACAAGTGCAACCTGGGCAGAACTGGGTTCTATCACACCTCGGGGGTGTGGTTAAAACTTGAGTCCTAGCTCCTCTGACGGGAGTGGGGAGGCATTGGACTTGGGTTTCCTGTGTTACCTGGGGAAAGTCATTTAAGTTATCTGTGCCTTAATTCACCATCTGTGACACTAGGAAAATAGTCCTTTGTCTATGTAGTGCAGTGGTCCCCAACGTTTTTCATCTGGCGGGTGCCAAACGATGAGCCCTGGAAGACTGTGGTGGCAGATGAGCATCTGCTAAAATGGCACCGACAAGCGGCAACGTCAATAGGTGTCGCCGCCGAAATGCCGCCGAGAAGCAGCGTCATCCAGAGGCGTTGCCGCCGAAATGTCGCGTGGCGACGCCTCTGGATGACGCTGCTTCTCGGCAGCATTTCGGCGGATGCTCGTCCGCCGGCCAGTGTGCAGGTGCACTTAGACGCCCCGGCGGGCGCCATGGCGCCCACGGGCACTGCATTGGGGACCCCGATGTAGTGTGTGAACTCTGTGTGGCAGGGATTGTCTCCTGTTATGTGTTTGTACAGCGCCTAGCGCAACGGAGGCCTGATCTCCATTGGGGCTTCTAGGCCTTGCCAAGTAATACATTGGTGCTGTAAAGAGGAGCCATGTTTTATCCCTCTCAGGTAACAACTGCTGTGTCTCTCGTAGTAAAGACAAGACAGGACTTGGTTGCAATCAGGTGATTCGTTTCTGAGGCTGCTGGAAGGTGACCAGAGTCATGCAGTGTAGGTGGGGCCCTGCAGACAAACAGGCATCATGCTGCCCCGGGGGAAGGCGTAAGAGAAAAACGACAGTACACAAGTCTGCAAGTAGTCGTGCATGGCCGGATGTTACACTATTCGAGAGCAGTGGCTCCAGGACAGCCATGGCCCAGAGCTACCATTGCTATTGCCTGTGAGTACATCTACACTGCAAAGCAAATCCCATGGCACCGAGGTTCAGAGCCCGGGTCAATTGACTCAGGCCGGGGGGCTAAAAATAGCAGTGTAGACCTTCCCGCTCGGGCTGGAACCCGGGCTCCGAAACCTTCCCCCCTTGCCGCATTTCAGAGCCTGGGGTCCAGCCCAAACGGGAACATCTACGCAGCAATTTTAGTCCCACAGCCTAAGCCCTGCAAGCCTGACTCAACTGTCCCACACTGTGGGTTTTTCTTTGCAGTGTAGACATACAGTGGCATCTGGGCCACATCGGGTAAGGCCCTCCCTGTGCTGTCCATCTACATCAGTACATCAATTTCTGCCCCTGCCCCGTCTCCAGCCTTACAAAGCAGCTTCATGCAAATCCATGCCTGGGCCCTGATTAAGCCGTGAGACATGCCCGGCTGTGTGTTACGGTCTAATAGTGATATGCCTTGTGAATTCCTGGGCCTAAGGCTGAGTGCTGTTAACTGTCAACACATTTCCGTCTTAGACCATAAATACACACGCTCTGTCCTAGTGTGATTGTAGAATATGGCTCCCTACGGGATGAACAGGCAGGGGAAGAAGAGAAAACGTTTACGATGAGGAAAATGCTTTCAATTAGGCGGCAGGTTCCGTTAGGAGAAAATAGTCCCAGATGGCAACAGTTTTTTTTTTTATGCTAGGTCATTAACGTTTTTAATGGAAACATTTAGGTGAGTGAATCCTTTTTGAAGCTGACGCTGTGGAGAGGAGGCTGCAGGGACCTGTGGTTCCCTAGATGATTCTTGCCTCATGCATCTTCCTCCCCCAGGCTGATGTGTATCAGGGAAGAATTAAATGAAGAAACAACCTGAGCTTGTGCACTGAAATGTTTCTGCCTGGAGGTTAAGTTTAAGGATCTCAAAGGTGGGATCCAGTCAGGAGAATATTGGTTTTGCAAAGCAGAACTTCCTTTCTTTCCCGATTCATCGCAGAGCGCAATGGGAGGCCCGCGCTGCACTGGAGTATGACTGAAGAGGCAGCGTGATATCCAGGGTGCGATGGGGTCTGGTTCCTAATGGAGAGCTCGTCTGGTGCAGTGCCGTCAGTGACCCAGTAGCCACGTGTCACAGATCCACAGCGTCTGGTGCATGCCCCAGCCCGTGACCCCTTTCGTGGATTGGGCCCCAAGGACTCCGATAGGTCCACAGGGACAAGCCCAGGGCCTCCAAGACTCTGAAACTGGGTTTGTGGATGCCAATGATCCATGGCTCCCTGCAGTGAATCCATCCAAGCCAGACTCCTGTGGGAGGCTTGTATGGTGCCCCTTCAGGGCGCGGTGCTCTCAGTGAGTGTTTGCAGCCACCCCAGGCCGCCTCTCCAAAACAAGCTAACAATTTAGTAGGCACCTGGCCTGCAGCATCGAACAGTCCTTAGGTTAGCAAAGAGAGGAAAAGGTGAAGACAGAGTCTGGCTTGGCTGCGGTGGAAGCCATCTTGTCTTGCTCTCCTAGTCTCTGTCCCTTTGTCCTCGGCCCCAGGTCTGTGGGTCTCTCTCCAAAGGCCGTCTCTTAACCCAGGCACCTGACATCTTGTCCCTTGGTTCTCCAGCTGCGGCCTTTGCTCTGCTTCCCTGACGAGGGGTGGGGGGAAAATCTCCTGCCTCTTGGTTGCTAGTTGTGAATGTTCTGGCCCTTGGGGTTCCCACTCTCTTTCTGAATCCTCCACTGATATGGGTCGGTCTCAGCCAGTCCTTAGATGACCCATTCATACCATCCCAGGCAGTTAGGTGATGCAACACCTCATGTCCCCAGCTCTATCCCAAGAGTAGCTGTGTAACTTTCACAGTTCGTGCACAGCAATGCAAAGCACAGAGGGACACTGAGGCATGCATAGGCATCCTAAAATATTCCCAACATTCCCTCTTCATTACACCATGTGACAATCCCAATCTCAGGTACTCATGTGTGTCTGCTCCAAGGACAGTGCACACGTCATTCACATGACCTAAATACGGGTCTTTGTCCCCTGCTAGTGGTTGATCTACAAAAGAGCTGACTATCACGCTACTAGGGGCTAGGTTGGGAGGTAGACGCTCATGCTTTCAGTGTGAGAGATCCTGGGTTCAAACCCCACTGATGATCCATGGTCGGCGGTCATGTCTCTCTCCCCCGCTCTGAAAGGTGCCTGGTTCCGAATTGACATAGCTGCAGTGCAAATACAAGTGTAATGAAGACTTGGTTTTGATGATACAAATTCTGCAATGGCGTTGCGAGCTGTAAGCTACCCTAATCTAAAGCAGACGTGCCGCTTGCCTGTATTCTCCAGGGCTTTCTATACGCGTTTTGATGTTTAAATAAACATTTTACAATCGAAATGGCGTGTGCGCTTCTCTCCTAGGCATCACAGCCATGATTCTGAACACTGACTCTGCGCTGACGCTCTCCGAGCTGAGGCAAAGGCTAATTCATTTCTCCACCAAAAACCTTATCAATGAGGCTTGGTTTCCTGAAAACCAGAGGCTGGTCACGCCCAACAGAGTGGCAGGACTGCCCAGCAGACTCATAGCCGGTAAGTCACGCATGCTCCATAGGGCAGATGCACAGCAAAGGGAGAGGCTCCAGGGGACACCATTGCCTTGATGAGGTGGCTGAGATGTGCATGACTGAAATGACACCCACGTAGGGGCTGGAATTCTCCTCTGAGGATATGTCTACAGTGCAGTGAAAAACCCACAGGTGGCCCATGCCAGCTGTTTAAATACGGTGTAGATGTGAGGGCTGCAGACCATCCACATTGCAATTAAACAGTCCCTTAGCACCAGCCCGAGTCAGCAGACATGGGCCAGCTGTGGGTTTTTAATTGCATTGTAGGCCTAAGGTAAGTTATCCCTAGTGACTTGGCCGGGCTGGATTTGTGCAAAGAAAGTTGTGTAGGGGTTGCCAGATGGCTGGTTTTCAACCATAAAGTCTAGTCAAAAAGGGGACCTGGCCGTATCCGGTCAGATGTACTGACTGGACACCAAAAATTCGGTTACTGTGGGCAGGGTGGCAGGTGAGACGCCAGGTCATCAGCCCACACCAATCCCTGCTCAGCCAGGGCCGCCTCCTACCGGCATCTCATGGGCAGGCAGGCAGCAGGCTCCAGTTCCCATCCCTGCCCCAGAGCAAAGGGAGCCCAGCTGTGGGGGGGAGGGAGGAGGAAAGGATCAAGTGACTAGGAAGGGGGCAGTGGGAGAACAGCGAGCAAGCAGGGGGCGGGGCCTTGGGGGGAATAGGCGGGGCAGGGGCGGGGTGGGGGGTGGGGTTCCAGTTTTCAGAAATTGCCAGGGAGTTTGTGCCTGTCGAGGGCGCAGCGGGGCTTGCTCTCATTCTAAACCTCTTGCGGATCAGCGATATGCATAGGCGCCAACTTTCCCCAGCACCGGTGGGTGCTCGTGCTCCCTGGCCTTGCCCCGACTCCATCCTTTCCCTGCCCCACCCTGCCCCCATTCCAGCCTCTCCCCCAAAGTCCCTGCCCCAACTCCGCCCCCTCCCTGCCCCTATTGGACCCCATCCCCAAATCCCGGCCCCGTCTCTTCCCTGAGCACGCCACGTTCCCGCTCCTCTCCTCTCTCCCAGCACTTGCTGCGCGAAACAGGTGTTTCGCGGCACAAGCACTGGGAGCTAGGGGAAAAAAGCGGGCATGTGGCGCGCTCAGGGGAGGAGGCGGAGGTGAGTTGGGGCGGGGGGCAGGGCGGGGAGCTGCCGGTGGGTGCTGAGCACCCACCAATTTTTCCCCATGGGTGCTCCAGCCCTGGAGCACCCACGGAGTCAGCACCTATGGCACAGCATCGACTGGAAGCCAACCTGCCGTGTGGGTCTGACAACTGAGCCGTCCCTTTTCAGGTGAGCAGCTGTATTGCCGCTCCGTGTGGTCTGCCCAGTCCGGGTCGACTCGCTCTGCGACGGGCGTCGTGCGCTGCAGTGGGAACGAGGAGATGCTCAGCTGCTCAAGCTTCTCCACGAACGGCAAGCGGCGAGGAGAGCGTATCGAGGTGATGCTCCACCCGGGGGTGGTTTGGGGTGCTGCAGTTGACCCTCATGCATCTCATGTCCTGTTGAAATCTCTCCGGCCCAGTCCCTCAGAGGTACAGAGGCGCCTGAGACCCATTGATTTCAGTGGGAGTCTGGCCCCTAAATACATTAGAGCATCTAGGCCTCAGCCTGTAGGACCGAATAATTCATTGAGGGTCCCACCCATCAGGCCTTACACAGGCAAAACTTCCCAGCACTCCAGAGGCATTTTGTCTCTGTCAGGGCTGTCAGATTTGTCCCTTAGAAAATAGTGTGTGTGGGGAACAACCTCAAGGCTCCTGCAGCTCCCGTAAGCAGGGACTAGGCACGTCGGAAACGTTGCCTGACAATGGTGCCTTCTGAATTGTAGGTTCATGGAGGCAGGAAGCAGTGTGTGGCTCACAATGCATTTGGCGGCCATGGTGTCTACGCGATAGCGAGGTGTTGCATATGGCCCAAAGCTGACTGCCAGATTCACACCCGCTCCCCGACTGCGGATGGTACTTCGACAACTGGAGTGGGCTGCTCCAAGGAGAACCACGTTTTGACAGGTACAGTAGGTTGTCTCGCTGATGACAACAAACGCCCTCTCTGCCTAGTCACCTGTGCAACCAGAATAATCCTACTACATTCACATGGGAAGTTCAGTTTAATATTTGTAAAGTGCTTGGAGGTTCTTGGATTAATTTATATCCGTGGTCTTATCGATGTGCTGTATGGGCTGGTTTGCTAGTTCCTGAACTAAGCAGCCAGCTGATGCCTTAGTCTGTGTTTCCAGTACTTCATGTTCTCCTCGTATGGGAGATTGTGACACACTCTCATTCCCTTAGCATGGTGACCGCTTCAGTGACTCAAAGCACCTCTCGCTGTTGTTTGTGGGTTCCAGTTCCTGGATTTTGGGTGGTTTGCAAAAGGAATATTCTGTTAGCCCTGACGTTCAAAATTAAACACCCTACTTAGGTCACAAGTACAATTTTTGGGTCTTGTCTTACCCTCCAGAGTGTATTTGCCCAGGTATCACGATCGCCATGCTGGTTTGACTGGCATCCTCCACTCTGGAGCGGCCTCTGTTGGTGATATCCGAGAGCATTTCATACTAGGATTGAGGTGCACTGGCAGAGATGCCCCCCCTCATACCATTCCATGCTATTTTCTGCTTCATGTTTTTGAGCAAAACCGATTTCCCTGACAACTAATAGCTCACAAGAGCAGGCTTTGAGCATTCACCTTGAAGCGTTCTGTATTGGCAGGTTGTAGCTCCCATTCTCTTGCTGGAGAGTTTAGTGACAACGTCAGACCCGTTCTAAGGATGGAGACCGGACACCACCAATGCGTAGGTAGAACAGATGTGACCTTGCATACTTCCTGCTGCCACGCCCCCCGCATTGAATGCCAGGTGAAGGAACACTCACCCGTGGGCTTCCAAGAAAAGGTACGGCAGAACCAATCATCGTAGGTATTTTCAGAATCCTTTTGCTAGCTGTCTATTGAAATCATTCTTACTACATTCTAATGTTTCTTTATCCCCGCCCCCCCCATAAAGCTGCTTTACTTAGCATCACTCCAGTCACTGAAATAAATGGAGCTGTCCCTGCTTACCCCAGTTCTCAATCTGACCCATATTTATACTTCCCCACAAAGAATGATTCCATCCCTCTTCCTGGTAGGTGGCCGTGTCCTGTGATGAAGGCTGGACTCTGACAGGATGCAATGCGTATTCCTGGGGTCCCGGCACCCTTGGCGCCTACGCCGTGGATGACACTTGCGTGGTAACGAGCGCTCTCGCTGGCAAAGGGGCAGGGGCCATCGCCATCTGCTGCAGAAGCAGACGTTTGGAAAATGACAAGCATTCTTCCAACTACAAGTGAGGACACTGCCCGTGGCCACAAGGCGCCCCTGCTGAGACAAAACTGACATCACACCCAAAAAACCGCATTCCAAAGCCATCACCTTTCCAGATTCCAGAACTGAGGCCACTACTCCCAGTTTGGTCAGGGCTGATTGTGATGGAATAAGAATCACTAATTGTAGGTGGGAGACGTAACACATCTAAAATGCAAGGATTGTTGGTGTCTGGAAATGCTCAATCTAGGGTGACCAGACAGCAAATGTGAAAAATCGGGACGGGGTGGGGGGTAATAGGAGCCTGTATAAGAAAAAGACCCAAAAATCAGGACTGTCCCTATAAAATTGGGACATCTGGTCACCCTAGCTCAATCCCAGCACCCTGAGGATGAGAGATTCTCTCCCCCCCCCTTCTTCCATAGGCCCTCCTCATTTACCGCATATGCATTCTAGCAGGGCGACATTTGGCAAAAAGTCCTGCCCACCAGTTTGCAAGCATGTTTTTTCTATTACCAAGCAGCAAGGTTATAAGCTCAGTGTCAGTCAAGTGGTTTGAGGGTGACCTAAGGAGATGTATTTACTGCACCAGGTCAGCAAGCACCTTTACTGGTCTTGGCATGGTTGCTAGGTACCTTGGTTACCTCTCCAGCATTCCGTGGGTATTTGTGTTACCACCTCATCCTTTTTCTACACTCAGGGACGGATTCTCCCTCCTGCTATAGCCCCCGTGAGCCCCTTAGATTTGGCAAGGGGAGAATTCCCCTGGCTCAGGAACTGGTGTTGTGTGGCCCTCTCTACATCCCCTAGTGCAGAGAGTGATAGGGGGGGTGAAGCTGTCGGGGCTGCCATTAAGGCGATTCTGGCTGGTAGTCTCCCATAGGCCGTTCAGCTGTCTCAGCCTTTGCAGCAGCAACACAGTCAGGGTCCAAAACGTGCCTTAAAGCCAGTGTAGTCCCCCCCCCCCCCTCGGGCTCAGACTGATCCTCCCGGAAGTGCAGCCCAGGACCTTCGCTCCCTGGTTTGCAATTAGCCAAAAACTCCAGCAGGGATTTTAATTTTTTTGTTTGTTTCTAGTAAAATCTCTTATTTTCCGATCGTTCTATAGCTTCTTGCCTCCGAGCAGAGCCCCAAGTGCCTTACCGACCCCGGCTCCAGCAGTCATGGCACTGAAACCTGCAAAGTGAAGGCCTCTGTGCACAACAGAGCAGTGTGGGCAGTGCCATGGATTCCCCCGCCTGGCTGCCTCTGAGCTGCTGAGGTCAATGGGGAGGGAATTATTCCCTCCCCTCCCCCAGTGGAAAACCCACCAGAGAGGAACATCAGGGAGTTAGATTTGGCCCAGGCCTCCACTGGGTCTCCTAGTTAGCAGTCCTCCTTGGCGACACCATCCCCATGCCCTGATCTGTGTGTGTGCGCGCGGAGGTTCTCTGTGCAGGTCCAGAGATTGTGCCTGAGGCCTAGTACTCTCTGTCTGGGGACTGTTTCCTTCATTAGCTGAGACTAACCACATGCGGGTGAGTTCTGATTATTTTTGGGATACAGCCTCCTGTCCACTAGGAACTGGACTGAAACCATCACTTCACTTTCTCTAGGCCCCCCCAGCTGGGATCAGCTGGTAACAACCAATACCCCAGTGATGAATGCAGTATGAATTCCTAGGAAGTACATTAAAGTTAATCTACATGATCTGTAGCTTAGCCAGGCTTGGTTTATCTCACGATAATCGCTGACCCCACAATGCATTGAGATTGTTTACGTAAACATTTATCGTACAAGAGTGATCTTTAGGGTGTATTCATTTACATTGTCAGTTTGACAAAACCAGAATCTCTGTAACCGAATGCACTGTTGGTGTGGGCTTTTTTCTTGTTTACTCCTCAGATTTCAACGAGACCCCTCAGCGCTAGCTCCTCGAGTTTGGCACTTTTTGCAGCGTTAGCTTTCCCAAAAGGTGGCCTAATCGTGTGGCAAATAGACCCCGGTTTACTCTGTCAAGCTTGCAACCGCTAGTTAACTGCTTGCTTAATCAGATTTTAATTTGTAAAGATAAGAGTTTTTGCAGCGTTGTTAGCTTTTTTTTTTAAAAGAGCAAAAGAAAGTTGAAGTATAAATGTCGACCTACTGTATTGCTTTAACTGGTCTCCTTTGGGTTCCTCCCTCCTGGGAAGTTTGTTTGAACGAACATGCTGTAATTCATTACCTGTTTTTTTTTTTTATAAAGAAAGCTTTCATAGTACTGTGGTTTTTACATTTGTATCTTGAAAATATTTATTCTGAGTTTTATAAACAGCACATTTTATAATGGTGTCTTTTTAAAATAAAAATATGTATGTCGCAGCTTGGAGTTCATCTGTATACTCAACTGACTTAGTGCAACATGGCTGGAGGTAAAGCATTGTGAAAGGGCATCCATCTCCCAGGGCACTTGCATGGTGCTAAACCATCCCTGTTGCTTGAAGTTGACAGGAGAGGAGACAACTCAGGTGCAGAGGAGGTTAGCCCAAGTACAGGACCGTGAGCAGGAGTCCTGGCTCCGCTAAGGTTTAGCTGGGAGCGAGCCTCCCACCTGGTGTAGACAAACTTGTGCTAGCAGGGCTCAAGCCAGTGCACTAAAACCAGCAACGTGGTTGTTCCAGCTGGGCTGGAGCTCAGGTGAGCTTGGGCATCCAAACTTTCACCTGAGGCAGAACGGCCGCAGTGCTATTTTCAGTGCACTACCTGGAGCCTCTAGCGTGCCTCTGCCTAGTGGACCCTGAGTGACGTTAGTCGTTCTGTACCTGTTACCCTCTTTTACAGGGTAGCATTACAGCTCCTCTTAGAGGTACTAGAAGGGCAAAATTCTCTACCCGCCCCCTTCAACTACCTGTTGTACCATGGGAAGAATCAATCACTTCTGCTAGAGGAACTAAGAGTGAAGCTATTTTACACATGTACCTACAATAAGCCAGCGTGGTGAATAAAAAAAAATTCGACTGCATAAACCTCCTGTTGGTTTGTGGGAAATGAGGCCTTAGATGGAAAGTTACCAGTTAATAAATAGCACATTGTGTCATCCCTCTGATTAAATTCATTAAAGGCGTCCACAGATTTACTTCTATTCATTCTATTTATAAGCTGCTTTTACCATATCATATCCATAATAAATCTAACCTCTTGCGAACGTTTGAGCTATTGTTTCAAATAGAAGTGTGGATGTAAACAATAACTGATAAGCGCTCTAATTTAGAAGAACTTGGAGTTTTCATAATGGAACAGTTGGGCTGTTTTAACAAGTAAAATGTTTCAACTTTAAACTGACTTGGATAGTCAGAGTGGATCTGACCATACACTTTCCTTAAGATATAGCCCACAAAGGAGCTGGGAAAGTGATCAGTTTGAATTACAGTTGCCTTGGGTAGGATTTTCTGAGAAGTCAGTTATCTCAATTTGGTGTACTAAGTAAAATACATCTAGCAGGACTTAAGCTGCACTTAAAAGGGTGGCTGTAGTACAGATCGCTGTTGTAAGAAGACAGCTGCAGGTTATCTGCCACATGGGGCTAACAGTAGGGATGCAATGGGGTTGGGAAAGGTGGCGTTTATGATGTAGCATCTCTCAAACTTCTACTTGAAGCACAGTGTGCTCTGCAGGGGGAAGGGAGAAGGTAGCAGCTACACCAGCTTGGCACCGAGTCGTCTGGCATCTGCACTCAAGTTCTTTTCCCTCTGAACCCTAAACAAGGAATAAATCTTTTGCACTTCTCCCTCCCCTCCCAAGAAATGACAGGAATTAAGCTGAACCTGGTGCTTTGTTCTGTCTAGCGTTAAGGCACAATTTCCTCCAGTGTAGAAGACACATTAGTTTGACTAATACAGGGAAGTGGGCTAGCTATGGAACTGACCAGTGTTGAAAGCCTGAGCTGTCATTGAGCACACCAAGCCTTGGTTATGCCACATCTGAACACAGTACAGGAAGATTTCATCCACATAAAGCACCGCCCCAGGGAATTGCTTAATCATAAAGACATTAAAAGCAAGGATTGTTCAGCATAAAGGGGTTTAATTTGCTCAACTAAACAGCAAATAACCCATCTGAGCATTGTCATGTGATTAACATTAAAGAAATCAAAAACACTGCAACAGATTAGTCTTAGTACAGGTTTCCAGCACTTACTCAGTTTCCTTACAGATATTAATCAGTTTTAATACAAGATTAGCCCCTGCCTACCTGGGCCAAAAGCACACCCTATGTTAGAGCTGTCAGGACTCTCAGATCGTTGCAAAGATCCAAGTGTGTGTGCGCAATATTTTTTTTAAGCAAGCAAGGACAACCTGCTCGATTTTGAACTCTGGACATCTAAATCTGAGGAAAAATAGGAAACCTTTCCACTTCAACTTAAAACTACGTAAGTTAGAAGGCTGGAGGGCAGAAAACATTGCTGGTCAGTAGGATGCTCCTTAAAGAGCAGAAACATTTAATAAAAGCTCAAAAAAGGGTATGGAAAATTATGTGCACTTTACTGTGCTCATTGGAAGGTTTCACGGCTTACCCCAGGAGATCAAAATTGGTTTTCCTAAATAATAGGGAGAGCAGTGAAGAATTGCCACTGTGCCTGAACAACAAAACAGTAGCAACAGGGCCAGTTCTCTCTTTAGAGGCATAACTGCTAACAGCAGCATGACCCCTGGCAAATCAGTATTTTCTACTACCCTGAGGCATGCTAGGGCACTTCAGAGCCCTCTGACATCTTCCAATATGGTGTCTGCTGCTTTGTGGTTGATACATGAGCGAAGTGCATCGCTCCATTTTGTGAAGGGGTGAGATAAGAGAAAGCTCTCACAATGCTTAAGCCCCTGAGAAGTGTGGCGTAATAGCTTGCTTGGAGATCCAGATAGGCAGCGGTTAAAGCACCAGTATATTTCACACTAGTGTATTGTCTCAAGGTTTTGGACTCCTGCTACCAAGTAATTAACATGATAGGGGGCAGCCTTATGCTTGAAGATTAGTAGTTTCTTCTCAACAGTGCAGAGGTGCTTTGCTTTTACTTTGCTGATTAAAACTCCCATCCACAGGATGCAGGCATCTGTCAGGAAGGGTTTTGTTTCATTAAGAAATGTAGAGTTGCATCTTACATACCTGTTTGAAGCTACTGTGTCTTTTCTTTCTACAAAGAGGAAGACTGGGCACATATAACAACCAGTACCATATCGTTTTGTTTCCTGCTTTTCATACAAGTTCTTTCTTTGAACCAGCATAACTGGAGTACGCAGAATCTCACTGTTTTATGCATCATGCACAAACTGAAGTCAGTATCAGTGCAAAGTCTGACCCTCAGGCAACTTCCAGCTAATCCTACTATGTGACAAGCAAAATATTCAAAGAGCTTAGCCATAAAGCTAAGTGATTTTATTCTGCTGTAAGAAAGCAGGGTGGAGTAGTGCAGATAGCTATTACACCTGTCTATTCTTGTGCTTGCAGACAGCCAGGCTATAAGGGTGTACAATAGAATAGTGTTGAAAGTAATTCACCTCTTTCAAATTAGATGATGTCAGCTTGTCCCGGGGCTGTCAAAAAAAAAGTGTATCAGGATAATAATCTATCGCTCATTACCTGAAGGATTGGCTATGGGAGAGTTCAAGGTAAGAGGATCAACAACATGACAGCACAGCTTTATGAACAATCTAAAGACTACACTAGTTTTCTGTGAAAGGAATAACTTTATTCCATTGACCAGGATTCCCAAGACTGTTCATCAGGGCTGCCTATTATTTTTTCCAGTGCCAATGTCTATGCATTAGTTGGACAAATCTATCCCCGAGAGCACATAGGCATGCGATGGCTGCTCGCTTACTGAACATATTGTAAGATGTATAAAAACATTTTCATCCAAAAGATTGGCAGTAAAAATTACAACATAGAAACACGTCACAATTTACACACACACAAAAAAAGCTACTTTTGTCAAACTATATTTAAAAAAAAAAATCTTCAGCAGGTTCAAATGACAGCAGCTGGAAACCAAAGTATTGAAAATTATAGCCACTGATTTTGTACAAGCATGAGCAGAACCATGAAAAGTTTGTATTGATGTGGAACATACAGTGGTGATCTGAGCCATCTTGGTGCAGTTTTGCAAGCGATGCTACTTTGGCCTGCAGAAACAGAGGGCGTAGTTTCCATAGGAAATAAAAGGCATTTGAAGTGACAATTGATGCTGGCCCCAAGGAACAACAATGACATCACATCACTACTGTATATTGACTATTTCTGAGATGATTTTTGACCTGTTATGAAGTAGTAGGGAAGGTGGGGAAAGAGGTGTCAGTGAGAAATGAATTATTTATTCAAAATTAATTTAAAACATCACATTTAAAATTTCCCAGCATGTTATCAGAAACATTTATAAAATCTGCTCACTCTGCCATGTTTCAACGATGACATTGTTTTGAAAAAAAAATCCACTACAATGCCATCCTTATTTTGAACAGGCGGTTTCTGACATGGGTTCTCTAAGCTGCAATAAGTTATAGAGCTGTACAACGGAAATCCTATTGGATGGTTGCTTCAACAATGAAATGACTGGTTAATTTCAAGATTAGTGCACAATAGTGAAAAGCCATCTGCCAGTTCGTGTTTTGACAACAGTACATAAAAGTAAAAAGAAAAAAGGCACTTTTTGGCTGGTTGTGCCTTTGACTTGGCAAATGTATCCATTTTGGAGGTACGCAGGCACTCCTTAAGAATTCCCCCATTTCTGTGCATTTTGTTTTTTTTAAAGTAAGGCAGAATCCATAAATAAAGGCAAAAGCAGTGCAGACAATGTGACAAACTGAAAATGCAAAATGTACAAATAGGAAAACTCAATTGGCACAAAAGAAGCTAGTATCCCGAGCTACTAGAAATGACTGAATTGCATTCAACATGGAAAACAAAACTCTGGCTCATGTAGTTCAACTGGTTTCCAGTTATTTATGAGCTAATAAACCTAGCTGTGGTATTTTAAATGTTGCCTGGTCAAGTGAAAATACAAAGCCAAATCGTTCTTTCCCTGCATTAAAATTATTATAAAATCCACACAAAAATGTCTCCAACTCACTCAAGGAATTATTCATCATATACAACCAATACCAACTTTCTCAGTAACTTCAAAGCATAAGCAAATGATTGCAGATCACATGATTAAGACTACAGTTTATTCAATATGTCTCCAAGTCTTAAAGAGATGATTTAATGGAGTCAAACTGCAACAATTCAATCTTAAAGTGCTTTTTTTCTTTTTAAACATTAAACTTTTTTTTTAAATCCACCTATGTCATTTCATACACACCTGTTACTAGAGAAAACAAAGCTTTTTTATT